GTCATAAATCAAATCAAAACGTATTCCTGCTAGTTACAATAATGGCGTGTTGGTCCACAAAAAGACTTCTGCAAAGGATGCACTCATGTATCCTTGCTCATGGGTCCTCCAGCAGCCTCCTCGCTCCTTCATGTTGGCAGACTGGAGCCACTTCCAGGTCAAGCAAGTGATTTAAAAAAAGCTGAACTAGGAATCATGTTAGGACAAGCAATGCTAATCTGAGTTTTGTGTTTAAAGGCTTTAAACGTTGTGAGTAATTGGTTGCTATCCCATATGTGCATTTGGTGTCTATTTGTTTTGTGTGTATTTTTACTTTATAACTGGAAAATAATTAAATTGTAATAAAGTAAAATACCTCAAAATAAACACACTTAAAATTACTTTTTTTTAAGTATAAGTACACAAAAAATCTACTTTGTTACAGTAAAAAGTATAGTACTAATTCATTATTTCTAACCTTGATCAGGGTAATGGTGGAAATCCTCCTTTGCTGTCAAATTACTGAAATCTGTCCCTGCAGGGTTTTTACATCATTTAAAAGTTTTTCTTCTTCTTCTCAGCAGTTTTTGTTTTTAATATTGACATGGTCATGTAGCCTTAAAGTTAAATGAACGAATGAATAATTAAAGCCTAATAACCTTCTGCCTTTTATAGGTGGGTGCAGAGTTCCAGAAATGCATCACTGATAGAGATGTGCTCTCAGCAGCTCTATCAAAGCTGCAGGGTGTGCAATGCTCATTTTCACCCCTGCAAGTTCAAGAGGCTAAACAATGTGAAGGCCTGTACTGAATAAGTATCACAATCAAATTGAAAAGGCTTTTAGAAAAATCTGAAAGATACTTAACAATCAAACTAATATATGATAGAGGGTTTACATTATGGACTATGTTGTGTTCCATATATAAATGAATAGTTATGTATTATATTTTTCATTATTCATTAAATATATAACAAAAGAACAAAGAGAATATTGTTTTACTCTTGTACATTTTACTGGTGTTATTAGGTTTTTCCATAGATTTGATAGACATGATAGTCGCTTAAAGTCCAAAATGCTGGCTGTGTTGCTCTGCAGCTGGGTGCTGGTGTTGCAGTGGAACATTCTATTAGCTGTCTCATCTCTGCAATGTAGGTTCACTGACTGTGCTACATTTCATTCCATTCCATCTCCCTCCTTCTTCTTTTCTCCCACACCCCCTACATAGCCTGGGGATGCTTTTGTTTGTTTGTTTTTGTTTTTTGTTGGCTTATTATTCTGCTATAGGATCAAAAACTGAAATCGTCTGACTTTGTTAGTGTATTGCCTTGGGGGTGATCTCAAAATCTTTTGCTCGATAAGGCATACTTCCAATCAGCTGTCATGGGTATATTGAGAGGAAGGCCAATGTCTGCTAGTCATTTCTAGAAGCCACACTTTAATCAAGAGTATCCCAACGTCCTGGTAGCAACTGCTGCGGAAACTGCCACCACCTTTTTTGATTGGAACATTTATAGCGGCAGTGAAATTAGTGGCAGATGATTGGCCAGTATCGCTCCTCCTCCGTTCTGGAGAGTTCTGAGAGCGAAAGTTATTGAAGAGGCGCGGCCGCTCTCGCATATACTGACAGCGGGGTTCGAGACACTGTTACGTCGGCAACCACTCAGAGAGAAGACAACCTGCAGTAGTTAGTACCGCGACTGTAACGTTAAGCCGATAAAACAACAGGCTGAATTTAACGGAGGTGAGTATAACTAGGTTAGATTAATAACGTGACGTTATTGTAGTAACTTTGACAGGACAGAGAGGTAGACAAGAGCTGCACGAGCGTTTATTGCTGTAACTTGCATTAATTGTTTAGCTAATTAACGAAACCCGAAGCGAGGTAATTCTTGCTGCTCTGTTAACGTTGGTCTTTTTGCTGTTGTTCAAATACAGCGGTTCACCTTTAAAAAAAAAAACAAACTTCTGTTCTTAGTTTGTGTTGCACAATGTTAGCATTTCGTAACGTTATCGTAACCAAACAGCCATTTTTTTGATGTGACAGCTTGAGAGCGTGCATAAAGGTAACGTTGAGCTAGTTATGAAGTGACGACGCTAACTAAAGCCGTGGTTCTTCTCTGCAATGTCCTATCACATTTCATGATGTGCTTTGCAAAGCTGTCAAAATGCGACGGATCAGAATCTGCTTTATTGGCCAGGTGTGTCGGACACACAAGGAATTTGACTCTGGTACATCGGCTCTCAATGTGTATGTACATATCCCCATGCAAGGGACAAGTAAACCAACATAAGTCTGTAATATATAACAAAATAAGCAGTATTAGCAAGCAACAAGTGATGCACATCGGCAGAAGAGGCTAACAGTTAGCTAGCGTTATATAATGCTATGTGTGCAAGTTACAACAAAGTGGAAGGAATTATCCAGAAAAGTCCAGCCTTCTGAAATCAGACGTGACACGCCTTCCTCCAGTGGAGCTGCTGTTTAGGCCATTTTCCCATATTTCTGAGTTGACTGACATTTTTGCTTGATAAGTACATTTTTCTTCTCTTCCATGTTCACTAAAGGAATACTTTCAATTGATCACATAAGCATTTGAACTATATAGTGTCAGCAAATGGTTAAAACTCCTCTTAAGGTCTCAGCTCAAAGTAAGACTTTTAAATATCTTTTTGTTTTGCCCTTTAGTATGAGCCACTGCTTAGGTTAACTGTAATGACCTCCCATGTGGCTTGACATTAGGCTAATATTTACAGTTGCCACTGTAGCAACTGTAAATATACAGCCTGTTCCAAGATGTTGCTGCCTTCTGAGTCATCCAGATAATTTTGTGGCTGAGGGAGACCAGGAACAAATCTTTACCTCTTAAGGACATTTCCCACTTAACTCTAAATTGCTGCCTATTTCACTTAGTTTTCAGCAACCAAAGCTGGATCTATTAAAAATATTGGAATAAAATAACAATGTGCCAGAGTCAAAGTTGATATATTCCACTTGCTTATTTTGCCTCAAACCCAAGGATATTCAGTTTACTGTCAGAAAGAACAGCAGCATATGTGCACCGGAGAAGCTGAATCAGATCAACTAATAAGTTAACTTAACATTTCACTTCAGTGATGATACAGGTTAATAATAAAATTCAGCAAAGTGTCATTTCAGCATTCCTATCAGCAAGTAACCCTGCTTACTAGAAAATTCACTGGCCTCCTTGTTCTCTGTTGGCATAATAAAAACTGCTGTTTCCCAGCTGTCAAATGTGAGGAAGCTTTAAAACAGGTGCCGTGGACCTTCACAGAGGTCATTAGTTTTACATTTCTGTTTGAGCAGCTCAGGGTCTGATAATAGCCTCATCGCCACATATTACAATTGTGCATCATGGGAGCCACCCACAGTACTCTGAAGCCCTTTTCACACATGAACACCAGACTGTGTCTGCAAAATCAGGCCTGTTCTTTGTCCAGAGGTGCCCTTTTGCACTGCCATCTCATAACTTCATAACATATGCATAAACACCATCCTGCAGAATGTGGTGCACTTCTATCATTGATTTGAGCTTTGAAAGTTTTGCATAGCGAAGGCATCTCATGCCATCGGAGTTGCTGGAATGACAAAGAAGTACTCGGCTCACTCAAATTATGCAGTGGTGTTAGAGTGATCCTTTACTTCATAATTAGTCTTTGGCTAACAGCAGATGGTGACTGACTGTTTCTCCACTGGCTGCAACAAGGTCACAAACCCGACAATAGCGAGTTTTGTTTGTCCTGTTGTCATTTTAGAAATGAGAGGTTGTCATTTAGTAACAGTTGGTATGACCCCGCTGTTCGCAGCTTTAACATTCTACAAACATCCCATTTCATTTGCACCTGTTAGTTCAACATTCTGCTACCAAAACAGCAAACAGAAGCCCTTTATTTCTACCAGAGGTGGTTGCATTGTGTTTGAAATAATTTCAGGGTTGCAGTGCATGTCTGAAAAGAGCTACAGAGCCTAAGTTACTCAACTGTCATCTATCCAGACTTTCAGTTTAATGCCAATGTATGATTAACAACTGATAGTTTTCATGCTCACAGGAACGATGTCCAAGGGACCAGCAGTTGGCATTGATTTGGGCACTACCTACTCCTGTGTAGGAGTGTTTCAGCACGGCAAAGTTGAGATCATTGCCAATGACCAGGGAAACAGGACCACACCCAGTTATGTTGCTTTCACCGACACAGAGAGGCTGATTGGGGATGCAGCCAAGAATCAGGTGGCCTTGAACCCCAACAACACAGTATTTGGTATGGAACATGTATTTACACAGATTGGTTAATCATTAGCAAACTTTGTTGTTTTTGCTTATTTATGTAAACTTTACTGTCTTTCAGATGCAAAGCGTCTCATTGGACGTCGGTTTGATGACAGTGTTGTCCAGTCAGACATGAAACACTGGCCCTTCACAGTCATTAATGATGCTTCACGCCCCAAAGTAAAGGTGGAGTACAAGGGAGAGGCAAAGACCTTTTACCCAGAGGAGATTTCCTCCATGGTGCTGATTAAAATGAAGGAGATTGCAGAGGCATACCTTGGCAAGGTATTCCCGTATGCTTTAGTTCTTATAAAATACAGTTGGTTGGTTTTTGATTACAGAACTGGTGGTCTGCATGACTAATACATGCGTTGACAGTAGTCTGACAAATGTTTTATGCTTCCCCTGCTGCTATGGCAAAACAAGGAGATGTAAGCAGGACAGTTTGTTTACTGCAGTTGCTTTAATAGACTTGAAAGCTAGATGGAAAACTTACTGTTCAAAGTATTATTAATGTCCCTTTAAGTACTGTAACTTGGTGTCCTTCTTGCAGACTGTAACAAACGCTGTGGTGACCGTGCCCGCCTACTTTAATGACTCTCAGCGCCAGGCCACCAAAGACGCAGGGACCATTTCTGGGCTTAATGTCCTTCGTATCATCAATGAGCCAACTGCTGCTGCTATAGCTTATGGCCTGGACAAAAAGGTAAAATCAGATTTTGGCTTAGGTTTGCAATTCGTTCTTGTGAAGCAGTTAATTCAGTTTTAAGGCTGGAACAGATGATTGTCTTCATAAACAACTATTCTGTCAGTTACTTGCTTGGTCTATAAAATGCCTGAAAACCCTGATAAATGCCTGTTTCAAGATGTCTTTCAGTGACAACACCCAAAGATACTGAGTTTACACTCGTATAGAAACCAGAAAGTGTTCACATTTGAAAAGGTTTTTTTTTTCCATTAAAAATTACCAAATGATTTTGGTTTGTCAAAATTATTGCAGATGAATTTTGAGTTGACTAATTACTTAATTCACTTGTAGTTCTGGAGTTGGTAATTTTAAGCCTTAGTGACAGTGTTTCTCATACATTGATTTATTTGTGGCAGGCTGCCACGATATCAACAATGACACATTGATTTTAAACTAGGTTAAATCTTATTTCAGTGAACAGTTGTGCATAGCGCATGTATTCACTCAGTACCTCTCTGCCCGGCTCTATTTCTTTCGAACACATCGCAACGCACCATATATTAACTGCTCTTCTGTTTTGTTTTGTTTTGTTTTTTTTTTTTTTTAACACAGCGCTGTTGATCCCAGAGATTTAACACATCTGTTTTTAGCACGTTTGAGGCTAATGTTAGAATACGGCTGTTGCTGAGGTCAGCATGCTGTAAAGAGCATGGATGTATATGGACTGCTCTACAAATGGACAAGGTTCATGCTGGTTCATAAATTTGGCTGAATATTTGACACCTCAGTCCAGGGAAGTATTGAAAAGCACAGGTGGTAAAGCCAAATCAGTCCAATCAGTGTGATTAGCGATCCAGTTGATTCGTTTCAAGTGCTTACTGGCACAGGTGAAGCAGGAAGAGAGGGTCAGTAAGGGATGGCTGAAGAGAGAGATGTAGGAGGGCAGCAGCCAACATGCTGCTGCTGTGGGCAAGAAATGCAGAAAGGACAGGTTAAACGAACAGCGCAAAGGTGCTTTAGTATTACTATATTTAATTAAAAACAATTATGAAGGTGTGATCCCTCCCCACACTGAGCTACTGTCACTGTCTTTTTCTGTGGGAAACACTGACAGTTTTTCATTTGTGAAAGTTGTGTACTTAAGTTAGAAAAATACTAAAGTGCAGTAGATGTTAAATACTTTTGCTAAATAAATTACAAATGAACAATTTAAAATTTCAGGTTGGGTCTGAAAGAAATGTCCTGATCTTTGACCTTGGCGGTGGCACATTTGATGTCTCCATCCTGACCATTGAAGATGGCATCTTTGAGGTGAAGTCCACAGCAGGTGATACACACTTGGGTGGAGAAGACTTTGATAACCGCATGGTCAACCACTTCATCTCTGAGTTCAAAAGAAAGTACAAGAAGGACATCAGTGACAACAAGAGGGCAGTGCGCCGTTTGCGCACTGCTTGTGAGAGGGCCAAGCGCACCTTGTCGTCCAGCACCCAGGCCAGCATTGAAATTGATTCTCTATATGAGGGCATCGACTTCTACACCTCAATCACTAGGGCCCGGTTTGAGGAGCTCAACGCTGACCTGTTCCGAGGAACCTTGGAGCCTGTGGAAAAGGCTCTTCGTGATGCCAAGATGGACAAGGCTCAAATCCACGACATTGTCTTAGTGGGAGGCTCCACTCGAATTCCAAAGATCCAGAAGCTGCTGCAGGACTTTTTCAATGGGAAGGAACTCAACAAGAGCATTAATCCTGATGAGGCAGTGGCTTATGGTGCAGGTATGGTCTCTTTATGGCTATATATGTAACAGCAACTAACTTGTGCTAATCAAAAACTATACACTGAAACCTCAAATGCACTATTTTGATCTGCAGCTGTGCAGGCAGCCATTCTGTCGGGCGACAAGTCTGAGAACGTCCAGGATCTGCTGCTGCTCGATGTGACCCCCTTGTCTTTAGGCATTGAGACTGCTGGAGGAGTCATGACTGTTCTCATCAAGAGGAACACTACTATTCCCACAAAGCAGACCCAGACTTTTACCACCTATTCAGACAACCAGCCTGGGGTGCTCATTCAGGTATGAGCATCATCTCTAGCAAGAAAGGGCACAATTATTTTTGAGAAATTTGAAAAAGCTTCATTGATGGTTTGACATGACCTTGTATGTGCAGGTGTTTGAGGGTGAAAGAGCCATGACGAAAGACAACAACCTTCTGGGGAAATTTGAGCTGACTGGAATACCCCCTGCCCCACGGGGGGTTCCTCAGATCGAGGTGACCTTTGATATCGACGCCAATGGCATCATGAACGTGTCTGCTGTTGACAAGAGCACTGGGAAGGAGAACAAGATTACAATCACCAACGACAAAGGTAATGTGTAACTAACTCGCTGTCTTAACAGTAAATTGGTTGACAGTTTATACCCTTGTTGTCATGTGAAATAACATCTGTTCCTTTTTTATCTGGGACTGGTCAGGTCGCTTGAGCAAGGAGGATATTGAGCGTATGGTTCAGGAAGCAGAGAAATACAAGGCTGAGGATGATGTACAGAGAGAGAAGGTTACAGTCAAAAATGGTCTGGAGTCCTACGCTTTCAATATGAAGTCCACCGTAGAGGATGAAAAGCTGAAAGGAAAGATCAGCGACGAAGACAAACAGAAGATTTTGGCCAAGTGTAACGAGGTCATCAGCTGGTTGGACAGAAATCAGGTCTGGGTTGGAAGAAAAGTTTGCTTTTGAGAATGTACTTTGGCAACATAAGGGTTAAAATTGCTTTCCTGGCCTTGAATTGATATTCAAATTCTCCTTTCTTTTTTTTCTTAGTCTGCAGAAAAAGATGAGTTTGAGCATCAGCAGAAGGAGCTGGAGAAGGTGTGTAACCCCATCATGACCAAGCTGTACCAGAGTGCAGGGGGGGTCCCTGGGGGAATGCCAGGTGGCTTCTCTGGAGCTGGTGGCGCTCCTGGAGGAGGCGGCTCCTCTGGTCCCACCATTGAGGAGGTTGACTAAACTAGAGGGTCACCAAAGTCTTTAATCTTGAGGCTTCTGTGAAGGGGATCACGTTCATAATATCAGTTATTAAAATTGTTATACTCAGAACCATTGCCTCTGTGTTTGACTTGATCATTTTGTATGTGGGACTTAAGTCATCACTTCCACTGTGGCTTTTTTGGTTGGCATCTACAGTATGCTGTCAAGTTAAATCAGTTCATGTTTGCTGTAATGCTCCTTTTCTTTGTCTGCAGCCAAAATGATTGCTACTGTTCAGTATTATATGCATTGTGCCAAAGTATAAATAAAAGTTTTGCTATTTGGATTTGCTTTTTCTTGTCATCACATTGCAACAGTTGCAGTATATAACCAAGGGTACAATTTTGTCGAGGGTGGGATTTGGGGGTTAGCGTACAGCCAAGGTAATTTGAGCAAAGATCTTGATACACTCGTGTGAGTCACCTTCAGTTACTACCATGCCCTCAGAGCAATGAGCTCAAGGAGCAGTAGCAAGTGGTGAAATGAGGTGTATGAAGACTGGTTTTGCCTCAGGTGTTGGTGCGATAGTGTGATAATACCTCCAGGCTGTATATGCTGCAGTAACTTTACAGGACTTATAAAGGTACTGCCAATTAGACGAGGTAAAAAAATAATTTAAGTAGTATTGTCGGGAAAAGAAGCCGGAGCTAATCATAGCAAACTGCTTAAATACACCTACACCTTACAGCAGATTTTTTTTCCGTGGCATTTCAGTTCATAATGCTTTTCCACTTTGTGTCATCCTCATCTAATGAAACCAAACTACACACTTGCTCTATTACTCCCTTGTAGAGGTTAACTGTGATGTTGAGTTAACATTTACATACTTTTTAAATTGCGTGTTTATGCTGTTTTTGGTAGCACACCATGCAATCCAAAGACACCATTGATGTGAGCAACATTAAGGGATATGGCTGGTCATTTTCTATAAGCAGTATTTCAAATACTCCCCATACAGAGACTAAAACCAACAGTGATTTGTCTCTGCTAATGACTATCTGTAAGTTCTGGATTATCTTATTTATCTGTGCCATAGACCTCCATTATTGTTCAAAATCGATTAAAAACAAACAACTCTGCACTGGTTTGCATGTTTCCTCATTACAAAACAAGACCCTGATATTTTTTAAAAAGCAGCTCAGGGTCATCGCCACATATTAAGATAATCCAGGAGTGACAGATCAACAGACATTAATACTGAGGAGAGGCACGTCATTGTTGGCTTTGGTCTCTGTATGAGGATTGTTGAAAAGAATGCTAATATAGAAAATGACTGGCCTTATCATTTCAGCTGGTCACCCATAATTTTGCATTGAAAAAAAGTTTATAGGGTTTATTGTGCTACTCCAAATGGAAATAATTACATCTTGTACAGACATTCTTCCTCAGAGTCAATATATTAGTATTGTACACATATACATCTACAGTATATGTATTTATTTAGAGGGCAATGTAAACAACAAATGCATTTTGTTTTTCTCATTTATTTTGTTTATTCACGAATATTTAGTTTTACAGGAAATAGTAGGAAGGTTCATAGGGGTGTTGGTTCCTCTTGGCCATATAGTAACATGGGCTGGTGCTGGTATATGTGTAGGTTTGTGTGTAAGTCTTTGGCAAGTCAGCGCGAGTTAGAGTTTCTTGGGCATTCATGCATCCGATAGGCACACATGTAGAAGATTCCTGGAAGAAAGTACTAAGATTAGTAAGATAGTAAGTATAATATGTAGAAAACCTCCACCAGTATTGACAGTTGTTACTGTGGTGAGATGCACACCTGAGAAGAATGTGAGGACCACCGCCAACCAGCCCATTATATAGGACCAGGAGAATCGCCAGCTGCCATAGCGTTTGCCATAGTAGTTCACTGTCACTCCTGTGTAGATAGCCATTGCCAGCAACACAAAGAAGCCTACACAACATGAAAGCTTTAGGTTTAACTGACAAAAAGGTCTTTACTATAGTAGAGGCATGTGACTATAGAAAGGAGCTTACAGGAGATGAAGAAGAGGATACCAGCTGCAAATGTCTTATCAAACCCATCAAAGGAGGAGTAGTGGATGAAGGCCATGACACCGATGATAACGCCGATGAAACAAGCCAGAAGGGAAAGAATCATGAAGACCCGGGTGGCATCCAGGTAAGCTGTGAATGACCGTAGACAAGGGCCGTCAGATCTGAGAAACCAGGTGTCCAGTACTAAATAAAGAAATCAGCTTCTTTGAAGTCTTTCTCTGTTTTATACACCCAGCTTATGTCTTTTTGGGTTATGTAAGTATGCTTTATTTTCATCTGTCCATCCATTATCTATACTGCTTATCCTGATGAGGGTCACGGGAGCCAATCCCAGCTAACAGAAGGAGAGTACACCCTGGACAGGTCTCCAGCCTATCACAGGGCAGACACTCTCAGACGGACAAGCTTTTCTTCTTCTAGGACACAGCTCTAGCTTGCCATCTAGTGTTACCAGTGAATTGGCACATTATGTTAGTATTTTAAGTGAAAGATACTATAAATGACTGAAAATGAACATTGTTTATCTAATATTAACAAATCAAACAGCTATAGCTGTAAAGAGCCTGTGGAGTTGATTTCTGTGTAAGAATCAGTCTGACACAATGACAAAAGAAACATCTGGTATTTCTGAAAGATTTCTCAAAAACATTTACTATAAATGACAATATAAATACATAAATTTCCATCTTCTTTGCACTTAGATCTCAGCTGTATTTCACTTAACACTCCACCAAAGCCCCAGAGGGAAGTAACTCCAGTGCTGATCAGGGTTAGTGCCAAGGATATGGACCGATTGTCACCAAACTAATAAATATAAATGAGGAAGATGCTCAGCGAGTCTTACCAATGCTCTCTGTGTGTGTCATGCATTTCTCGGGCACACAGTACCGCCACAGGCCCTGGTGCATGTAATTGCTGGAGTGACGGTATTGTATCCAGTAGTCAGTTGCCGTGGAGACAATGAGGAGTATGTTCCCAACTCCAGCACAGAACAGCCCACCTCCCATGAAGCTGTACATCCTGTCAAAAAGTGCTGACTGACACAGAGAGGAAACAGAACAGGTCAGGGCCCCACCACCTCTGGCCCCACTACAATAATTACAGCTAATTCCTGTTACAGAGAGCAAAGGGCAGTA